TTGAGAGTGTGAGAACGGCCCTGTAGGCGTTTCATATCTGTTCCATTTTCTCTTTCATCAGCTCTATTCAGTTCTGCTCTCTGAGATTTTCTCACCAGTATCAGCCCTTTGCTCTCTGTTCCCCATTGTCACTCACAATGATTGTGACTGCTCTCACGCAGAGAAAGAAGGCCACATACCACAGACAGTTGCACTGACAACCACAACAAAACAGTGCACACAGACTACACTGCAGGATAAATAAGACAGACAGACATGAAGATAGATAGGCAGCCAGTCCAGCAGCAACAGCAGGAAAAGCTGAGCCAATCTGTAAAAAATAGCATCTAATTCAATTTAAGCACCGGTGTAGCAGACTGTATAATACAATTTAGGGATAGTGGCTTACAGCATATACCGATGCCTTTACATTCACCTCACCCAGAGTCAAGAGCTTTTATTTTATTTGTATAAAACAGCCTTATTAACAAACAATACAATAACATGGCATCTTAGAAAATGTTGTAGTTTTTCAACAGGTTTCTGTTGGCATTCTTTTATTCTATCCTCATTTGTTGCCCCTCCTGAGATTCCTCCCCTTTTATTATTCCCTAATAACTTCCTTGAAGTGACCTAGACATAATTATGTATTTTGGTACTAATTAAAGCAAAATGAATTTTTGCTTGCAAGAAAAGCTCAATTTAAACTAAAGTTCATATAAATTAATTACTGATTATTTATCAGAAACTGAACTCTCCATATAGGTTGAATTATATGCTTTCATGTGGATACATTTCAGAATTTCTATGTCTCTATTTCCCTATCATAAGAAAATGATAAGGAAATTATAGACATAAAGCATTAACCTTTGTTGTTGTTGTTTCTTTATTCAAATCTTATTTGAAAATTGACTTGAAATTACATTTTGAAACTAATGGTATGGGATAATTCTATGATCTGCTGTGACATCCCAGTTCATAGTCTGACAGTAAACTTGTGTTGAGCAGTGGCCCACATTAGTGGCATAGGTTTTAATCTTTCATCTGTGACTACGTTTATATCAGATATCAGCTACTTTGATGTAAAGGAGAAATTACTCTACATACTCACATAGTTGTGATAACGGCGGTAATAGGAGCAGCTCGCTTTATCTACAGTTGTAAATTCACTTTCACTTCCTGAAATCAGCCTTGGATAGAAGAAGGTGTGATAGTCTATGGGAGTCTGCAGTGAATCTGCAGTGTAGCTGTAGTTTGAATAACCTGTTGTGATTTGTACCTTTTAAAGGGGTTTTGATATTTTATTTGAATATTTTCCTAAAATAAGTGTTTGTTATAAATTGTCAGAGGGCCTTAAATGTTCATCTTTTCTGCATGGAGAAATACGCTGTTTAGGTTTTTTATGTAGAACATCACAAGACATCAGGTGTCTGCACTTGTTAAAGATCTTTTTACCTTCTGCAGTCACACTTCAAAACTACTATAAATGCAGAAAGGTCACCCACTGTTTCGCATTTTATTTTATTATTCTAAGATGCAATATAGTTAAATGGCAGTAAAATTAGATGTGTTGCTGCTCGATATTATGCAATATATGTATGAAATCCAAGCCCTTGTCTATAATTATGGAGGAACGTGAAACTAATGGAGTTTTGTGTGCAGAGATTCTGACAGTGTATCTGGACGATTAGGGGAATTTCCACAACCTCACTGTATACACACATACTGCACATAGCAGTGATACACAACACACATGATGGTCTGATTGCCCCCCAACTATAAATACTTGGCCTGTTGAAAAGACCTCTAACAAGGCTCTAAATACCAGCTGTTGCTGCCCAGAAACTGACCTCTGACCCCTCTGTGCTGTGGGGAGGGGGCCAAGAGATTACTTCATTTCTCTCTGGGACCTCCTACAAGAATGTGTTTTCTTGCATTAAACTGTGATAGATGTCAAGGTCCTGATCATGATCCATACTCCAGTACTGCCAATAATCCAATCAAGCTAACATACTAATTATATAATATTGCAATCTTTCACATGGTATTAATGGTATTATTTACAACTGTATTCACATTACTGTGATTTTATCATTACTGACTAAATGTTTCAAATCTTTAAAACAAATACTGAATAATTAAATATTGAAACAATGTAAAAATAGAATATAGCTGGGGAATAATAGAGGAAATTGCATCTTATTGCTCCGCAGTCTGCATTGATTGGTGTTACGTATGTACCAGGGCTGAATCAAGGGTATATATAAATCATAATTGTATTTATTTATTACCTGATTTTCATAACATTTTGTCTCTCAAGATTCAGTAGATCTCAAACTTTATCAGTTGTTGTTTCAAAGGCAGAAGTGAATCATTAAACACAGCCTGCCCTCACTGGGAACAGCTCCAGACAGCATCTTTACCTGACTCAGGTGTTGGGACAGTTGCTCTTGTTTGCACAGATTGATTAAGCTGTCTAAGCTTGTTGAAAAAGCAGAAGTTATGTTTAGATTTTCAATTCACTGGAAGCAACTGGCAGCAGAAGAAGATGAGAACAGAGTGGTGACCTAACAGCTTCATGATCCGGTTGACGTTATCCAGTCGCCCTTGTTCCTAATGACTGTGAGAATTGAACTTTTGTGAAGTAAACAACATAGTTATTGACGGTAACATAGTGTCATTTAGTTGAATTATACTATTTGCTTAAATGTAATTAATAAATTAGAGGAAATTAGAAATAACTGATTGTGTTTGTGAGTCTAATAGTTGGGAAATGCCAATTAAACTGCTAGGAAGCTTAGCTTAAACACGGGAAGCAGGGATGAAAAGGTAGTCCAAAGGGATCAAAATCTGCCTACCAGCATCTCTAAAGCTCTCTGATTGACACGTTATATCTCGGTTTTGTAATCCGTACATAAAACTAGTAATGTAAGAATGTACAAGTTGCGGTTTTATGTAGGGGGTCATGTGTTGCACCACGTTTAAGCTGAGCACTGTAACCTGTTACCGAGCAAAGCTAGCTGCTTCTCCCTGCTTGAAGTCTTTAGGTGAAGCTAAGCTAACCAACTCCTTGCGGTAGGTCCATATTTAACAGACAGATAGCAAATAAGCATGTTTCCCAAAATTTCAACCTATTTTTTTAGAGGTTATATGTGAGATTTTGAAATTAATATAGCAGCAGACAAATATTTGCTATGTAAAGATAAAGTTGAGCGCTGTGTCCTGAGCAGAGAATGAAGTCACATGCATTGCTGTAGCCAGCTATGAGGTCTCCGTAGTGTGAACATCAATATTCCAATAGGGCTGCACGAAATGGTACAAACATCATATTGCGATTATTTTGACAGATACTGCGATTCACGATTATGTGGAAATGATCATTATTGAATCAAAAATTGAATTTTCACTTAAAAATACTATTAAAATCATGATGATGTGATGTTTTTGGGGGTCTGTAGCAAGCAAACATGTTTTTTTTAATCTGGAGAACAAGATTTGTAGACCAGGGGACCTCTGCAGCGCTACAGTACTTCATTATAATGGCGTTTTGTCACACATTTTACCTTTATTAAACCATTACAGCTCTTGTTTATACTCAGTTGAGGACAGAGGGCACAGAGCCGTGGCCGAGAGCGAGTCAGACAGCTGCTGTTAATTATGACCAGCTGTACTAGACTGGGCCTTCTCACGACACCTACAAAACAGACACACTTTCACCCATATACACACAGACAAAATCACATACACACAGAGATGTGATAGGGGTGTGGGAGTGGGCTGGTCTCTTGTTAAAGGCACAGTGCTCATACTCAGACCATTCTTTTAAAATGGCTCCTTCATGTCTAACAGTGGCGATAACATTAAACACCTGTGGAACCACATCTTTATTGTCACAACATGTGTCAGTTTATCTGAAAACATCTGTATTCACTCTTCCTCTTCCTCCTCCGTTCACATTCCAAAGGTTATTTGAATAGTGGAAATAAATACCAGCTTCCTTCAGCTACTCAGTTATGCTTAATATTGACTGCACTCAGTATAAACTGTACTGTATTTTGTACATCTGACAGATTACAGTTAATGCAGAGGAACATGTAACCAATGATTACTTTCAGTTCCCCCTCAGCCAGCACTTGGTAAACAGCAAAACCAACCGCAGGTGTGGGTTGTGTGTGTGTGTATTGGGGGAGGGGGGATTGGCTTGCATTCAGTGTCATACATAAACTCAATTATCCACATGCATTTTACAACATCAGACTGAACTGGAGAGAGTTTTCAACAAGCTCTGATTTCAAAGTGAAAAACACAGACTTTATGTAAACCAGAAGTTTAAGTATATCCATATTACTACTGCATAATTAATAATATGAATGTCAACACTGTATGGACATGGTCTAAGTAATGCTATTCCACCAAGCCAGGCAGGCATTCTTATCATGTATGGTACTCTCACACTGCATCATAAAACTGCAGGCTAAAGCTTTACTGTAAAAGTGATGTTTTTACTGCATGTTTCCCCTTTTTTACTGTCAGGACCACATGACTCCATACTCTGTAAAAAGACACTACTCAAATTGACAACCCAACAGAGAAATATTGCCTGACTTTGCATTTCATTTAGCAGCTGAAGGACCAGCTATTTCCCTCAGGAGGTGGTGGAGACCAAAAACAGAGCTAGACAGAGAATACTGGAGCAACTGTATGCTAACAGGTTCACCGCATAAACTTGATATGTCAATGTTGTTTTCACAACTTGTGTCTGTTGCCCATAGGTGGTGAAAAAACTTTTATTGCAGGTTTAAAGTGAGACTGTGTAACTGTTGAAGGGAGAAGTAAGATGAGTATTGAATTCATAAGGATTATGCAGCTTATGCTGCCTAATGTTGGCAAAATAAAGACAGGTATTGCTGTTTAATTATTAATTTAAACTTTAAAAAGCATTAGTTTATTTACTCTTTGTTGTATCTTTTGTTTTTTAAACTCACTCATTTGTATTTCTAAATATCTTTGCTCACCTTCAGGCCCGTGAAGCCAACCATATCGGAGACCGGATGGGGGCCGAGCGGAGCAGCAGGACAGCCAGGACACTGAACCATGTGGCCCTGGGACTCGGCATCGGGGTCTTGATCCTCTGCGTTGTCTACGCAGTGGTTGTGTCATCTCTGATAAACAATTAAAACTGTTTCAGCAACTTTCCATATTTGTCATTCGATATTAGGTAATCAGACTACATCAGGAACCTTGCTGGTCATCCGAAGTTTCATTGTTTAATTGAATATATGTAACCCTAAAGTCACCTGATTGAAGAAAAGAAATTGAAATTTTGATTTCATTATCAACAGTAGATGACCATTTATTTTAAAGCAACTGCAGAAGGCTTTAATATAATCCATTACTCTCCAACCAATACAACCTACCAAAGATTTATATTTCATCAACATATTTTGGGCTTATGATTTGCTTTCTATGTAATCACACACACAAAAAAATTTTGTTTTATATATATAACAACTTTTCACCTTTTTCAATAGCTGTCAATATGCACCCTAACCTATGTATGCTATCATAGTATTACAGTGTTTCCTCTAGGATTTTTTTTAGCAGTGGGAGTAGGCCCGCCCGACTACATTGTGCGTCTGCCCCATTTCTGATACCGTGGCGGCAGAAATTTAACAGAGGCGGGACGCCGCTCCAAATTCAACATAGAGGAAACACTGAGTATTACATATAAAAAGAACTAACCAGTGATACTTCAGAATACTCAGAGGAGAAAGAGAGAGGTTTGGCTTTGTTTAGCTTATGTTGAACAAGTAAAAATAACAAAAGAGTGAGCCTGTTTCTCATCACAGTGTATCTGATCTGAGAGTGCATGCTACAAGGAAATCTGGTCCTTTTGTTTCAGTGATTTTTACATCAAAGTACTCGTCTTTATTCCCGCTAAACAGGAATGCACAGCTTCACGCAAAATAAGCAGAAACTTAGTCAGAGTGGAGCCAGTATGAACGACACAGTCAGCTGCTCGATCAGTGGCTCTCACACTCCTATTCTGAAAGCTGTAGTGTTACGTGTCACTGGTCTCGGTGTTTTTTTGTCATGCAATTTCTATATGTTCTTTTCTTAAAGCTGAAAAAGTAAGATTTTACTGTATACCAGATTTCTTTTTAAATAAAGTCAAAGTATATTGAGAGAAAACCCACTTGTGCTGTCTGGTCTATTTAGATTATTTTTATCTGGCCAGTGCCAGAACCTAACATGGTTTGTTGCAATACAACAGTGCAAAGAATGTCTGTCTTGCTGCTGCAAAGCTGAGAGTGGAACAACAGTATTGAACTGATAGTTTCAACCATGACCACCATAGGTTGGTCTCGAGCAGTGCACATATTGCCTTCTAAAGTTGTAATCAAATGCTTCTGTATACAAATGACATATTTAGGCGGTAAAACACACTTCTAAAGGTAAGTTTCACCTCTGTAGCCAGTGTTTCTCAAGTTAAAAGGGAGAGAAAATGACTAGATGCCAGTTTCAGATTGACTGCTGCTCTTTTTGCCCACTCACCTCCTCCCACGTCATTTATAATACATGTTTATAGTATATCTGCAGCCCCATCTCCACTCTCCCCAACTTACCTTCTACCTTGTCTTTACCTGTCTGTTAGAGCCATTTCTCTATTACCCGGCTACTGTCCGAGTTGGTTTCACAGAAAGCTAAACTGTAAATGCAGGAAATTCATCAACTTTGATGTATGATGTACAGAATAGGCCTTTTTCACAGCAGCCTTTTTGACATGAAATAGTCGAGTGATAGTAGGGTAGGTGACACTAATTCAGGTTCTATTCCATTCAGGTCAAACAGAGTCAGGGTGCTGCTGGAAAGGCTCTGCTACACTTAATGGAACAGAACCTTAATTAGTGTCACTGGTAACACCTGTGATTACCCTACTATTTAATGTCACTGGCTGCTGTGAAAAAGGTCTATTCTGAGGAAAAACCACAAGACCTGCAGGTATATAATAATAATAATAATAATAATAATTTTATTTATAAATAACTTCTCGAGCTCAAGCACAAAGTCCTTCCCAGATTAAAATATATATTCAGAACAAACATTAAGAAAACCATATGTAAACATACAAAATTAAGAACAAGATAAAGGCGCAAAAATATGAATATAAAAAGAAAAAGTAAACTGATGATACTACAAGCACAATTAAAATAGAGTATGGCAGAATGTCAGTGATAACATAAAATAATGGAAAGATGAAACCTTGTTAAGTGCAGGCCATTTTCTAAGTATTCAAGAGGCACTTCAAAGCTGCAGTGGAGCCGCCTTTTTCCATCTGCTTGGTAGAACAGCTAAAAGGTTTTGATCAGCTGATCTTAGGGGCCCGACTGGGCTGTAAGGGGTTAAACATTCATGATAGAGTCTGGAGCCAGACCATGGATAGCCTTGAAGGTAATTGATAACATGGGCTTAAAGGGCAACCAGCGCAGTGATTCTAAAATTGGTGAGTGATATGAGAGGACCTGGTTGCTGAGCTCTGGATTAAATGTAATTGTGAGACTGAGTGGGATGTTAAGAGAGTTACAGTAAGCCAAGATGATGATATAAAAGCATGTTAAACCATGGTTGTGTATTAAGCTATTTTATTTGTGTGTGTGTGACAGAAAGAAAGCACTTGGCTGATGGTGACAGAAAAATACCAATAGCAGTTTCTTTCAAGGTATCTACACAGCTTAACAAGTATTACATTTAGTTTCCCCAAGAAAACGCCGTAGAAGATATTAAAAAGGCTTAAATTTACTTCACAAAGGTCGCACTGTAAATATTTTGTCCTGCGTGCCATAGGGAGTAATGTTAGTTATGAAATGTTTTTGTACCCACTTGCGGGCTGTCAGAAGACAAAATGTGGATTGTTGCAACAGTGGATTGTGCTGCAGGAAGCTGTTCAGTCCTTCTTTTGTGGAGTTTCAGTCAGCACTGTCAGACCTCTAGCAAACACTGTCACAACTGAAGCTCAGTGTCTCATAATGGCTCATAAAGTGTCATAATTATCATTCTTCTCCTGATAATTTAATTAATTGTAACTTCAGGAATTATTGCCATAAATTGTTGGGAAGTACTGAAAAAAATGTCATGTGATAATAAATAATTATAGGCCTTACCATACAGGTATAACCATGTTCAGTCAACATGAAAGTAAAAGTACCAAAGTTTCTCACATTGTGTCAGAGAAAGAACTGACACCCCCTCAGTACATCAGTAGAACCACAGCTTTGGAGTAGCCAAAAGCTGTTGAGCACCCCCCCCCCTTTCAGTTCCTCATTTTACTGCTCTCCCACTTCAGTCACACTCTTCTCCTATTCCTTCCTTATCACTCCGCTCATTCCTCCCCCACACATCCCAATTCTTTATACTTAACCATTCCTCCTCCTTCCTTTGGCCCCCTCCTTATCTTACCACTTGTCATCAGTTGCAAAGCTCTTACTCCACTGTCACCCACTCCGTCCTTGCCATTTGCCTCATATCTCCCCTTCTTCTCCTTTTGCCCCACAACGTCTTCTTTTTTTTCTCTCATTTTGTCATTTCAAACTTGCCTTTCTATCATAGCCTTCATTGTGGGCATCTCTCTTTGAGGAATTCCCCTTACAAAGCCTGACATGTAAGGTGATCACTGACACATACTGGGGACGTCTTCATTGTCTCCTTTGGGAATAAAGATACTGGCATAATAACTTTTTTTAATCTACCTTTTTACTCCTACTTACCACTGTCCACCTCTCTAACCATGATGAGACCTTTTTGTTTGTGACCAGAAATGAACATTAAACATTTCACTGCTCCAACACACTTATTTCTCCTTAAAATTCAAACTGGATTGATTTATTAACAAGATGAAGCAAAGCAACTGAGTTGTCCTTATATATGGATTATATATTTTCAGTGGATCATGAGTGTATCACTAAAACTATGAACACAAGTTGTGTTTATATACCTGGGACAAGCGTTGCAAATTAGCTTAGGCCATAAATGGACAGGAGTTTTCCTCTTCTTTCTCTAGTGCTTCAGAGAACATGCAGCTGTTTGTGATAAATATCTTCTGCAGGGCCGGATCATCTGCCCTAGAAACCATTAATAATCGCGAATATCTGTCATTTAAGCTAAATTGTAAATTTTACATGCTTAATTGAGTATGCACGAGAGCCTGCCTCTGTTGATGTGAACTGCTTTACAAAGAAGAGCTGGTGCTGCGGTTGCACAGGTTCGACACTTTGGTAGCTGCAGAAATTTACTGCAACCCATCTACCTTTTAAGTAGGCCATCGACATTATGGCAAAAACTTGTTGTTTCCTTAAAACCACTCTCTTTAGTCATTTGGTTGCTGTACTACATGTTGTGAGACAAGACCAAATCTGAAAGAACCACACTATAACACTGAACTTTCACATCATGCCTCTCGTTTGGTTAAATATGCAGGGTCTCGACATAACAATGTGTTTTTTATGTAGCTCAAGTAGACAGGAATGTGTATTTACGTTAATGAATACATGGCACATATTTTATATAAAACCAACACAAATTGGTGCCAGTCTTCTCTGTCCTACAACGCCTTGACTATGTAGCACTACAGAAGTGGAGTTTTCTGGTGTCTCATTGTCCCTGACCACACAGCCATAGTGTTAATCACAGTCCCTGGTTATCAGCCTACCTCTTATACAGTCCTGAACAACAATATTATACAATTACTTAAGAAAACCTGATGCAAAATGTATACTTTTAAATAAAAGAGTTAGAGTGCAAAAAGTCTAATTGGGTTAGATTACATGAGAAACATCATAGGACCGTGTAGCTTCTGAGATGTTTCCCATTAAACTATGTTGTTCCCAACCACTCAACTCATCCTGTCTAACCATGCACGAGATGCTAACACCCATTAAAAATGTTATTATCTGTTCCTTACCTTTGCTGAGGTGAACCTCAAAGTCACATGGCACTGACTTCAATAATGTGAGCCAATAATAAATATTTGCTCAGTTTCTATTTAGGGATTACCTCACTCAGTGATATTGTGATGAAGGTTTTTTTTTCAAAATGTGATCACAGTCACATGCTGATCATGTTTCAGAAATCCTCCCCAACATAGATAGTAGCTCGAAGCTGGTTCAACACAGGGAGTGGCATTAAGGTAAAAAACAGTATTTCCTTTCTGTTCCCATAACAATCCTTTCATTTGTGCCAATAGTAAAGGTGCCAGCTCCTTCCATGCCTTTCAGCTCTGACCTTTCTGGATTTGAAATATGCAGCTAGATAGGATATGAAACACTCTCCAGTTACTTAAGGGATTGTTAGGTAAATATTCACTTCCTCTGCAGAATTTCCAGTACAATAGCAGAGCTGTTTACAGCCAAGCTATTATTGAAGAACTGCAACACCCACCATAATGCCATCCTTTGTTTGAATCAGGTTAAACTTTAACAGCCACGGAGGACACATTAACATCCTGTTTAAAGTCAACATTTTAAACTGCCTCTGGTTCAACAATATGCTTCTGCTGTCCCCTAGTGGCTATAAGGAGGAATAGGATTCAATAAGAAGCTGCCTGTCAGGGTGCCCCGCTGGTTCGCCTGGTGGAGCTGGCACTTCATGTGTCAGGGCAGAATCCCCTTCCCCTTTCTTGTCTTGTCTTTATATAAAAAATAAAAATAAGCTGCAAGTTGTTATAACAGAAATAGTTATAACAAAACTCATCATTGTATCACATGTACATGATTTAGTGTAGGTCTCCATATGCTGGTGCCCCTCCCCACTCCTGCCCATTAGATGAAGACAAGCCAAGAGATTTTGTTTCTATGCATAGTCTACAATTTATTAAACATATGAAGTACAAATGGCAAAACCAGCAGAAAATTAACTCACTTTAAAACAGGCAAATCAATTAAGTCAACAGTGATTCAGTCCCAGAAACACGCCATGTGAGTTTGTTCAATACTTCGTTACTCCATTTTTCTGGAGTTGCAGAAAATGTTCCTGTCAGTGGGGATTTCCCATCAATTCTACATCAGACACTGCTTTGTGTTACTGGGAACCACTCAGAGTTGGCATTGATGTTCAGAATAATTCCTAACTTCTGGAAAAGCACTCATCAACAACTTAAAAAGCCCAATTACTTTAACAGCTCTGTGTGCTTCACTGAC